TATTTATTTTATTTATTTTTAGTGTATAAATTTGGGGTGTCTATGGAGCTGTGTTTTTTGTATTTGCTGCTGCAGCAGCTTGTCTGCTGCTGCTATCTCCAGCAGCAACTCATCAGCATCGACAGAAGCAGCAATGCCCTCAACTAGCTGCTGCAGCACGCGCCAGAGAGCAGCAGCAGCACAGAGGTCACCTACTGGGTCTGCTGCAGCAGGGAATGCTGCTGCTGCTGCAGCAGCAAAAGCCTCAATACCCGGGGGCCCTTCATACAACAAAAAGAAACGCAGCACCAAAGACAAGCCGCAACCAGTACTCACAAAACGAGGGATGCTGCTGCTGCTGCTGCTGCTGCTCCTGCTGCTGCTGCTGCTGCTGCTGCTGTCTTGCTGCCAGCATTGGCTCTGAAAAAAAAAACAAAAAAACAAAAAAAAAGAGAAAATTAAACTGCAGCAACAAATGCAGCAGCAGCAGCAGCAGAAGAAGAAGCAACAACAACAACAACAGCAGGCAGCAGCAGCAGCAGCAACACCAGCATCAGCAGCAGCAACAACACGACCAGCAACAGCAACAGCAGCAACACCCGCAGCAGAAGCAACAACAACAAAACAACAAAAACAACAACAACAACAGCAACACCCGCACCCGCAGCAGCAACACCCGCAGCAACACCCCCAGCAGCAGCAGCAGCAGCAGCAGCAACAGCAGCAGCAGCAGCAGCATCTATCTCTTCATACAAGGTGTGGTTCCTGCAGCAATCTGCTGACGAGTGCAGCATCAGCAAGCTCTTTGAGTGAGGACCGCAGCAACGAGACAACAGCAGCAAAACAAAATAAATCAAGACAAACATCAGCCCCCCATTCTGCTCCTTCCTTTAGCTGCAGAGGCAGCAGACATGCTACACGCTGCAGCAGCAGAGACGCACGGAGATGCTCTCCTGCTGCTGCTGCTGCTGCTGCTGCTGTTGCTGTTGTTGCTGTTGAACTGTCGCCACCACCTGCTGCTGCTCCTGCTGCTGCTGCTCCTGCTGCTGCTGCTGCTGCTGCTGCTGCTGGTTGGTTTGGCTTTGCGTGCTGCTGCAGCAGAGCTGCCTGTACAGTAGCAGCAAGGGCGGGCTGCTGCAGCAGCTCGCAGCTATCCCCGCTGAGGAAGCCCAGCCGCAGCAGCTCAAGACACACAAACACCTCCTCCTGCAGCAGCAAATATATAAATAAATAAATATTTATATATTTATTTATTATATTGTTTATTTATTATTTTTATTTATATAAATTAAGGTTTTGTGTTGTTTTTGTTTTTATTTTTATTCTATAGAGTTATACACAGAAAAAACTGCAGCAGCAAGAAGAGCAACAGCAGCAGCAGCAAAAACAATAGCAGCAGCAGCAGCA